GAACCTCTTCTATAGAAGAGGTTAGAACTGACAGGAACTCACCCCTGGTACATGGGTTCTAGACTTGTAAGGCAGTGAAGGCTTTGAGTTGAAAATACCATAAAGCTGCAGGTTTTACAATTGTGTTCAATTAGACACAAACATGTCTGCATATTCTCACGCCATGCTACCGCTCATACATATTCATTTCTCTCTTTCTAATATACAAGCTGACATAGGTACACTTGATGCCAATGTCTTGCATAACTGAACGTGATCCCTGAAAGTAGGGAGGAAGCAAGATTGCTGAATAAAAGAGAAATAATGAAGATTCTCCCTCCCAGCAAATTAACCTGAAGACCACTGTGAAAAACCAGTGGGTTGAGGAATGGGGTTGAAGGTAAATTCCTCATTATGATCTGTGATTCCAAGTGTTGGATTGGACTGTACTGAGCTTTTATTGACTTGGTTTAGCCTCCTAAACAGCATCACTGCAATTATACAGAAAATTGCCCAGCAGACTTGCCGTTGTACAGTTTTGTTATGGCCGCTCAAAACAATGTACATAAAAGCTCAAATTCTATCTACATTACCTGTATCTGCTGTAAAATATTTTTCAGTTGCACCAAAAATTCTTTTGCTTCCTTTGCTTTGTCTGAAATGCCGTTCAAAGCCTGGGACAGTTGTGCCTGGAAGGAATAAAAGATGAAATTAGCTACCACTATTCATGTCTTCCTGCCTGCCTTTCTATTACAAGCCCTGGTAATTGTACATAAAAAGACTGAGATTTTACTTAAAAGGCATATGGGGGGATGAAGACTGGGTGTTCAACTGGGATCATGGAGACCAGGATTCAAGTCCGCCTTCAACCATGGAAGCTCAGTGAATAATTTCAGCTACTTGTTCTCTCCGTCCAATACATCTCATCGGCGTTTTGTGGGATAAAATGGGAGAAAGCAAAACTGTGTATGCCCCCTCAAGCTTCTGGAGAAAAGGTAGCAAATCAAATAAATTAATAAAAAGCAGCATTTCCTTTATGTATTTACTGATATACTGCTTTGCGAACCCTATAGAATAGAATAGAACAGAACAACAGAATTGGAAGGGACCTTGGAGGACTTCTAGTCCAACCCCGACTATAGAATAGAATAGAACAGAACAACAGAATTGGAAGGGACCTTGGAGGACTTCTAGTCCAACCCCCTGATTAGGCAGGATACCCTACACCGGTGATGGCAAACCTATGGCACGTGTGCCACAGGTGGCACACAGAGCCCTCTCTGTGGGCACACTAGCCATCACCCCAGCCCAGCTCCACTAAGCATGCAGGTGCGCCTTCCACCGGCCAGCTGGTCTTTGAGTTTCTGCCGGGCATGTTGGGGGGCAGGGAGCATGTGGGGGACGCATGTACAAGGAGGTGCTCGCATTGCATTTTGGGGTTCCAGGTGCACACTTTGGGCACTTGGCACCAAAAAGGTTAACCATCACTGCCCTACACAATTTCAAACAAATAGTTGTCCAATCTCTTCTTAAAAACTTTCAGTATTGGAGCATTCACAACTTCTGGAGGCAGGTTGTTCCACTGATTAATTGTTCTGACTATCAGGAAATTTATCCTTAGTTCTAAATTGCTTCTCTCCTTGATTAGTTTCCACCCATTGCTTCTTATCCTGCCCTCGGGTGTTTTGGAATAGTTGTACGATTTCTGAATAAACAACAGCAATTGGCCAATCAATAACACAATCCCTGTTTTTCCCATACAAGGGCCCCCCAAATTAAACCAAATGCTGATTTAAAGACCACATAATGGAAAATGTGCCTTCAATGTATTTTTCAAATGACATGAATGTAATTTCATATGGAATGGACAGATCTAAAGCCACCTGTTCCTGGCCTAGAATAGTTTTCGCTCACTAGCCATTCTTGTAATTTCCATTCTAAATGCTAAATGCTACAGACAATGGTAAGGAAATTAATAGGTCAATAGCTGACAGGCTCAACCCTTTTCCCTTTTCTGAAATTTGGGACAATTAATTCCACTCCCTAATACTAGGGTATAATATTATCAGATTGATCTATATATGAAAAAGTGAGGCCAAATCAGGAACACACTAATCAACATTACATTTCAATATTATAGCCAGAAGCCTCACCTAATATTAGAATGTTAATAAGCTTCCTTACTTCAAACCCTGAGAGTAGCCGCTAGTCAGGGAAGGTCTTGTTATTTTGCGGTAAACCCATAGGTTATTCTTCCTAAGACCCATAAACAGTTTTAAAAGAAGCTTCCCAAACAGCCTGCTGAATGAAATGAATTATTATTACCCAGATACAATTTGCCAAACTAAAGAGGGAGTTTCATCTGCAAAGAACAAAGGTTGCCATGGTTTCGTTGAAGCCACTTTGAATGGTTTGTATTTTTTTCCAGTTTGAATAATTTAGAAATGAATATTAGTGCAGAGACTTTGAGATATCCTGTATGCTAAATTTCTTCTGACAAAGCACCATCCCTTGTATCAAAACATTGTTTACCTTGCTTCATTTACAGAGTTCCTGGAAGCTCCAACTCTGGCATTTAGCACGATTGTCTGGTTTTCCTTTATCTCAGGGGCATTTAGAAGATTTGGGAGTGGAAGGGAGTATCCTAATTTTCATCTCGTAACATCTTTATCTGCGCCTCTAAAGTAGCGGTGGGATTCACTTCCCTTCCCTACCTGTTTGCAAATGTAAGTGTGCGCTTTGCTCGCACGCGTCTCACCTGTGCATGCGCACCATCTTCTGCACATGCACAGTGCTCACGCATTACAGCAGGGCAGGTGGGCGGAGCCTCCCGCAGCCACCGCTATCGGTTCGTCTGAACCAGAGAGAATTGGCTGAATATCACCTCTGCTTTACAGATAGATGGGCTGGGAAAGAAATGTCATACCTAGCTAAGGAACGGGGGTGGGGGGAAACCCCATCATTCTCTTCCCTCCCAATTCNTTTGGAACCTCTTCTGTAGGTGTGGCCTGCTTTCCGGGTCCACTGGTGGAACCTCTTCTAACCGGTTCGGTAGCTTTGATGAACTGGTTCTAACTGGTAGGAACCCACCTCTGGAGTGGAGGTGCTGTAGATGTGTGCAAAATTCAGGAAGAAAGGCAGGCACCATGTGTATAAGCAAAAGGGAAAAAGAGAAAGTGGTGCATGCGTGTATGCAAGTAAGGAGGGAAGAAGGGAGTGCCCTATAAATGCAGAAAGGCATGGGGGAGATGTATCCAAGGGACTTAATGAGTTTCCTTGCTATTTCCCATTGACTTTGCTTGTTGAAAAATGGCAGGGAAGATCACAAATGGCAATCACATGACTATGAGACATTGCAGCTGATTGTAAGTCTGAGCTGGTTGCCAAGTGCCTGAATTTTTTTCATGTGATTGTAGGATGCTGTAACAACTGGAACTTTAAGGGTCAGTTATTAGTCCCGTCATTCAGCGCCATCATAATTATAAACAGTTAAGTGAAGGCTACTTCTACATACGTTTGGCAGCATTACAGGGTGGGGAATGGGTGGGCAGATAAATGGAATGAATGGATAAATGAAGACTAACTGGTTCAGTTCAGTCTTTATACCCTTCCTTTTTCCCTCCCTCTCCAGAGAGGTCAGCTTCCAGGTAATTTACACTTGGAAATTTGCAGGTACATATGCCATTAATTTTTGGTGATAAGCATTTTGGAGTCACAGATAGCCTATCCAGAATCCATAAACATGTTATTTGTAATTGCTAGGAACTACATTTCATTAATCATAGTATATATGATTGTGTGAAAAAACATATTTCATAGAGATTGTTGAAAAATAAGTATGAATATGTGATTTCATTATGGTTAAATTTGGGATATTGTGCACAATCTTAGGCACCATACTTCAGAAAGGACATTGCACAACTAGAAAGGTACAGCAAGTGGTAAGTCAAATGATGAACTCCAATAGAAATATTTCAGTTTTTAATAAATCTGTCTATTCACTGGTGTGAAGCATGAACTAGTACAAAATGTGAAGTATGTTAATTTGTTTTAAAGATAAATAAAGTAGGAAGTTGTACAAAGCATATTAAATCATCATGTAAAAGAAATGAATAGAGTAATTTTATATTAATTCATGAATCTACCCAGAATATTGAAAACACTCCAGAGTGATGACATAAGGGTATTTGTCATCCTCAGAAATATTTTTTCTTCCTCCATAAAGATTATACTAAAAATAACTGTTACATCATTTCAGACATAGTTAAACTATTTAAATTAAAAAGCAAAGGAATCAACCACAACAAAGACCTTTCGCTGCTACCATTTTTGGCTTTTCATGGGAAATTTCTTCACCGTGAGTGTCAGATTACATTAGGGTGTGAAGCATAAATTTGAAATATTTAGGAGTTCTATTTTTCAAGATGGCATGAATTAAAGTTTCTGAGTTAACAGCTGCCTTTGGTATTCCTTTTGCAAACCGTTTGAAGAGTCATTTTTATTTGCATGGCACCCAAACATTTTTGAAAATTCAGTTATTGTTACTATATTGTAATAAATGTCCAGAGAAAATAATGAATGGGGTAGATTAATAAATAAAAATTCAGATTGCACCTGTCAGATATAAGGTGAATTCTTCATAGTCTTTTAATACAGAAAAGAGACGATCACTAATGTGTTTACATGCTAACTATCAATTCAGAAAAGCATAGCTCAAACATTGAATTCCTCAAATAGTTTATCCAGAAGTAAGATAATATCCAGTAGGCAACGTCAGTGACATGTAACTGAATTAAATTAAAGGATTCACATTTGAAAAAGGAAGAGGAAGACAGAAAGCCTATGTGGCTTGATATTTCAATATTATATGTATGTTCTTGTTATTATTTATATATAAAACTAAGGCAACAAGCCATTGTGCCACTTCTGTTTTTAGAGCACCAGAAATCATATTGGGTTTGCCGTTCTGTGAAGCCATAGACATGTGGTCATTGGGCTGTGTGATTGCTGAACTATTCCTTGGATGGCCACTATATCCAGGAGCCCTTGAATACGATCAGGTAAAAGATACTGCACTGGTGCTATAAGAATATTTATTTTTCTGGTACAGACTGGTATAGAGTTAGACTGAATTGAATAAAGAGTTTCATTTATATACAGATGAATAATGTAATTTGAAAAGCAAAATTATGACAAGTAGCTATTATATAACTTAAACATATAACATATACCTTTAGTTTATATCAGTGCCACTCATTGTACATCTCTATATCATTCCAGGCTTGCAAAGATAGAAAGATCTGCAGCTATGTGTTTTTTAATTATGTCAGTAGTATTATTCATTATTATTTAGCCAATTTATATAGCCACCTGTTCTGACACCCCTGGCCTGTGAATAAACCAGAACACAGGCTTGGCTGTTTGCCACTATTTAATTACTGAGATAACAGTTCCTTTGGCTGAGGGCTCAGACAACTCACATTCAATAGCATAGCCTGGCAGCAACCCAGATAGTTCAAATGAAGCAATGCGGATAATCCAAACGAACAGACACGGCTAGAATACAGACAGGTTTTCTTCACTACTAATTCGAACGGTTGTTTCCTGCAAATGTCCCCTCCCAACGCCTCACTTATAAACTCTCTTGGGAGGGGCCAATCCACAACCACCTGTGCTTAATTATCTTCTGTGAGTCTGTCTACGGAATTGCTGCTTCCGTTTCTCAGCACTTCTCAATCGAGCATCAGGGACAAACTGCCTTTGATCCTCTCCACTGCTCCATGCCTTGGGCGCCTCC